CCCCCTCCCGCTATCTGACATAGCCCCGCCTCTGCGGACACCCATCTCCATGTCTGATCCCTCCCTGGACCCGGACCAAGCTCCTTCCAAGTAGATCCGTTAGATCAGAGGCCTCGGCAGCTTTCAGGATCCGTGCTGGGAGGTCCGCGTGAGTCCCCAGCGGAGCGGGCCGCGTCTGGGAGAGCGCGCCGCCTCGCCATTCCATTCTCGTCTTCGTCCGTCACACGTCCCTGGTGTTGTCGTGCCGCCCTCAGCAGACAGCTCGGCGGCTCGCGGTGCTGCGCGGTTGGGGGAGGGGGCGGGGGCGGCTGTGCTGTCACGTCACGGGCCGTTGCCGTTGTGTTTGTGTGCCAGGCGGAGACCGCAGCAGCGTGGGCAGCTCGGGCAGCGTGGCGAGCGCGCGGTCCTCGGGGAGCGGGCAGAGCGCTGGCGGCAGCGTTCACGCGCTGCACGCTCAGGCGGAAGGCGTCAAGGTGAGTCCTGCGGCGGTAATCTGTGTGGTCTGACGGGGTTCTCCCACACTGGCTTGCTGTCCTGTCGGTGACGGACGCCCCTCTCCTCCGATCAGCGCTGAACCCTTTTACCAGAGGGCGCAAGTGGGAACTACCGTATGTGGTGTTCGTTAGAAACCAAGAGCAGGAGGCAAAGGGTTGTGGGAGTGTGGGACAAACGCAGCCATGTTGTACGAAAAGACGATGGGCGGAGTCTATCTGCACTTCCTCTTTCTCTCCTGTGTGCGGTCACAGGGTTCAGAGCAGCGAGCCGTGACCATAAACACTTTAAAATCGGGTGGGTGTTACAGAAATAATGAGCAAGCTTCTAAGTTTTGAAGAAGAACACACACGCATGGTATTGCTAACATGTGCACTGTGCTGGTGTTGTGCTTGTGATCCAGCTCTTGGCCACAGTCCTGTCTCAGTCCCAGAAGGCAAAGGAACACCTGCTGGAGCAGTCGAAGTCCGTGGAGCAGTCCACAGGTACGGCGCCACTAAGCACTGCTGCCTCCTCACCCCCGCAGGGACTTCCCTCTGTGTCAGACCCATCACACCGCTCTCCTTCACAAGCTCTGGGCTAGGAGAGCCCTGTCCGATCCCCAGCTCCTCTCGGAGAGCTTTAAACTGCAACATGCTGGACGCTTGCCTATGAAGCCAGATGGTGCTGCTGAGGGAAGGAGAAAGGAGGGGAGGGGAGGGAGGATGGCAGAGAAGGGGATAGAGGGGGAAGGGGACGTCATTGTTCCGTCCTCAGTCGACCACTGAGGTGCCCCTGCCCGGCTCTCTCCGGGCTTGTCTCTGCGGCCCACAGGGGAGGCTTCTGGGGGGGGGGGGGAGAGGAGGCTGTGGCCCGCCCTCCGTTTCGAAACGCTCATGTCTCCCTCAGGTTCCTCCCGCCAGCAGGGCTCCGCCGCCTGCCCCTTCCACGAGCCGCCGTACGGCGAGGCGCCGCCGCAGAGGAAGGGAGAGGCTCCGTCAGAGGCGAAGGTAAGAGAGCAGGCTGCCCCTGTCGTACCGCCGCCGTCCCCTACCGCTCCCTCTCCAGAACGACGCCCGGCCCCTTCCTCTCCCAGCTCGCTGCCTCCGCACCGTGGGCGTTGGGATTCGGGGGACGGTGAGTATGCTGTACAGCGGGGTGGGGTGCGCACTGGCTTACTGGTCTCGGTTACCCTCCCGTTGTCTGTCAGAGCTCTTTTTCCCACTTTCTGCTGCTGATCGGGACCTTGGGCAGGATCGCACCAATGCGCTGAACAGGCATTGAGTATGTCAATCGTTGCCACGACCCACATGCATCTGAAAGGTGGACGTCAAATAACCTTCAGCTCAGGAGCCCACTGTAAGCCCTTGGGCTTGTCCTTGGACGTCTTCCCAGCAGCAGGAACGAACAGCCTGTAGATGACTAAGTCTCAGATTATATGTTGAGCCAGAGTTCTGATTTTTGGTTGTTCATTCGTTTTAGAATTATTGGCGCTATTTGCTTGACTTTATTTTTCTTTTGATCAGGCACCCAAATCGAGCAAACACCCGTTTGCTTTAAAAAATGAAATTGAATGCCTCTCTCCAGGCCTAGGTTAATATTGCAGCGTTATATGCACAGGTTGAGGCAGGCAGGTTTTTTCGGATTTCCTCGTTGCTGTGGCTGTAGCTGAGCAACACCTGTAGTCGTTGCACTCTTCTTTCGTGAAAGCAAAGGTGTCTGGCAAGTGTCCTTTCTGTGAATGCTGTGAATGTTGGTCAGGTGCTCACAGCCTATGTACAAATGGCATTGTGAGCCTCTGGATTCCTGCAGTCCTCTTTGTGAAGACTGAATTTTGCCTTAGGATTTGGAAACAGAACAGGATCTCGGTCGGCTTTCACCTGGCCAGTTCACTCCAGCTTGTGTTTTGAAAAGGGATTTTAACCATTGCATGTCCTAGGAAATTCTTTGCAGGACTCTTGTTGTTTAGGGGGATTTTGAAGGGTGTGGCAGCATACTGGATTTGGTGTTGGGAGGTTTAAAACTAACCTCTGGTATTGATTGAAAAGCTCTCAGGGGTCACAGGCATTTAGACGGAAATGGAGGTGAATGTTTTTTCCTTCCACAAATATAGAAAAGGAAGTTTCACTCCTGGCTTTCCCTGCTCACTGTACATCAATCCAACCCTGGACTTGATATTGGTGCTTTTGCAGATCATAGTTGATGACCTATGTACAGAGGTTCCTAACAAGGGGACCTTGCAGTCTATTACATTGCAGGACTGTGATGCAACTAGCACACTTATCAAATTTGCTGAAAATGAAGTCAGTTACATTATTAAGAACCTGGTTCAAACGCAGACCTGCCTTGAAGTTGATTTTGGTTGGGAACCCCTGTCATTTGTGTCTGGTTTAGCTGTAAATTAGCAGGAGATCTTACTGTGCTGCTAAGCGGTTTCACTTTTCCTCCTATTACTGCTGGTTCTGTTTTTGTGTGAGGTCATTTCTTCCAAAACGCCCCCGTCCCCCCCCCGCTGGAGCGTCATGTCATTTCAACCCGGCAATCCATGTCAACAGCACATCCGTGGGAGAAGGTGCCCTTTGTGAACTCATCCCGACACTAAGAAAAAGTGATGCTAAAACAGTAGGTCAAGCTGTGCAGCTTGTATCTGGTAGATTTATTGCTAACCGTCAGGTCTGTGGGTTCCAGGGTTTCCAGGCGTTTATCGATTTCCAGCTTGTGCCCAGAGTGGTTTTATGATAAATATTCCATGCACTTATATAGAGCTTTTCTGGACACTGTACAGGTAATGGGGACTCCCCTCCCTCACCCCCAGTGTGCAGCCCCCACCTGGATGATGCAACGGCAGCCATAGTGCGCCAGAACGCTCCCCACACACCAGCTCTCAGTGGGGAGGAGAACAGCAGGGCCGGGGCTTTTGGGGGGTGCAATGGGTGCAACTGCACCCGGGCCCAGATCTAAGGGGGGCCCGTTGCTAATGTCATTAAAATGGCAGCTTTTTTTTTATTTGAGAAAAGACCATCCGTAAAATAAACAGACAGTGTCATCAGCGAGACGGAGGAACGATTTTCTTTCCTGAGCAAATTCAGCCGTCTTTTTGGCATTATGTTTGACATTAAAAATACGGGAGATAATTCAACTGAGGCTGCAACGAACTTGCCTTGTATTTAGGAGACATACATGGTGGAGATTTGGCAAATGAATTCAGGTTTCTGTCTCATTTGCTCCCCACTGAAGTCACTCTTTCCTGAAGCACTGCAGTATTTGGTCAACAATGATATGAAATCCACGTTTCCAGACGCAGTGAGAGCATGTCAAGTGTTTTTAATAATTCCAGGTGCTGTCGCCAGGGCTGAACGCTCGTTTAGCAAACTGAAATTTATCAAAACGTATCTAAGGTCCACCATGTCGCAGGAAAGACTGTCAGCTCTGGCTTTGCCGTCTATAGGGAACAGAACCGCAAGGCGGGTGGATTTCAGTGATATCATCGCTAAGTTTGTTGTGACGAGTCACAGTTGGAAACTTTTAAATAACTAGTTACTAGTATCAAGTTCAAGATGTTAGCCCGTTTTAATTTTGCTCTCTTGCTCTGTGCGCACTGGCGGAGGGAGAAGGAAGCCAGGGGAGGGTTTTTTTTTTATTTACTTGCACCCAGGGCCCAAGTATGGGTTGCGCCAGTCCTGGAGAACAGAGGTAGATCGAGATTATTAGGAAGCCATGATTGGTAAAGGCAAGGAGGAAATTGGGCCAGGACACCAAAGTTAAAACCCCTACTCTTTTCGAGAAGCACCTTGGGATTTGTGATGAACACAGAGAGCCAGGATCTCAGTTTTATGTTTCATCCAAAGGAAGATGCCTTTTTTACTGTACTTGGGCATTAGGACCCACACAGACTGCAGCGTGAGCGCCCCCTGCTGGCCCCACTAGCACCTCTTCCAGCAGCAACCTTAGTTTTTCCCAGGAGGTCTCCCATCCAGGTACTGACCAGGCTCACACCTGCTGAGCTCCAGTGGTGAGCGGCAGGGTGATTTCACAGTGGGCAACAGGTTTTGACCTGTTGAGGGGTCCACATATCAGGAGACACAATAAGCGTACAGCTCTCAGTAACCAGGACAAAATTGCAAGGACCTGTACGACAACCCACGTCTGTCCTTCTAACTGCCTGTCTTTCTGTCTGCCTGTCTCTCTCTTTCTTTATTTTCTGCTTGTGTAAAAATAAGTGCCTAGTAACTGCAGCTCACAGTGGGCGGCGTTTCAACTCGTGGCTTTGCAGTGAAATTTAAGACAAGGCAGGTGCCTGCCCTCAGCTGGGTGTTTGTAAAAATAAATTAAGAGAAAGAGGTGGGTCGATCTGGGGATTCTGTGATGTCAGTACTGGGTCACGGTCTCTCCAGGAGCTGTCACTGGGCCTAGTTCCTGCCATAACAGAGTGTGTGGGCATGTCACACAGTGATTGAATAATGATGGCGTATTCCTACTTTATACAGTGGGTATAGAAAGTCACCACCTCCTTTCAAAATGTTCACCTTTTGTTACCCTAAAGCCCAAAAAGGAGAAATATAAAATCAGACTTTTTCCAGTTTTATTTACAAATTGTACCTTGCAACATCCAAGTGAAAAGAAAAAGAAAGCAAAATCTCTGAAAATAAAAATAAAAAAGTAGAATACTACTGGGTTGGATTAGAGAACACCCCCCCTGAGTTAATAATTGGTGGAAGCACCTTTTTGCTTGAATTATAGCCTTGAGTCTGTTTGGATATATTTCTACCAACTTTGCAGACCTTGAGGGAGGAATATTTGCCCATTCCTCCTCACAGAGCTCATTCAAACTGCGTGGTGACCGTTGATGGACTGCCCTCTTCAAGTCATTCCTAAGATTTTTTTTTATGGGATTTAGGTCAGGGCTCTGACTAGGCCACTCAAGGACATTCACCTTCCTGTCCTTCACCCACTGTACAGTTGCTTTGGCGGTGTGCTTTGGGTTATTGTCACGTTGAAAGGTAAACCATCTCCCCATTTTCAACTTCCTGGCTGAGGGCTGCAGGTTTTCTTCAAAAGTTTGCCTGTATTTTGCCCCATCCATCTTCCCTTCTATCCTGGCTGGTAAGATGTATTGGGTTTTAGACAGCTGTACTGTTTTGCATTCCAGCACAAAAAGTTTGACTTTGGTCTTATCTGACCACAGCACCTGTTGACCACTTGGCCACAGAATCTTCAAGCTGCATTTTTGCAAAACAAAAATGAGGAGTGGCTTTTTTCTTTCTTTCTTTCTTTGCCATAAAGGCCTGTAGCTTGTTCAAAGCCACCATCGGCCTCTTGGTAGCCTCTCTGATCAGCTCTTAACGATGGTCCTGACTGTGCTCCATGGGATACTTAAAGCCTTTAAAATCTTTTTATACCCATCTCCTGACTTTCCACAACTTCACTTAAAGTTCTTGTGTCAGCACCTTTTTCCCTGTAGTGAATTCTTTGCTTTGAAATGCACTTGCAAGCAGTGGAATCCTCCTGGAACAGCTGCTTTTATTCTGAACTAATCCAAATCACCACAATTGATCACAGGTGGGAGCCAATTAGCTTGTGGTGTGATTGGTTATACCTGAGCAAGTTTACAAACGCAATTGTAAGAGGTGTGTGATTACTTATCCAAAAAAGGTATTTTACTGTTGTAATATTAATTTTCAGAATGGTTTAGAATTTGATTTTCATTTGGCTAATGTGGGTGACTGTGTGTAAATAAAAATGGAGCAAGCCTAATTTAATTTGTTTTTATTTTCAGTGTCATAAAACAAAAGGTACACATTTTGAAAGGGGGTGGTGACTTTCTATACTCACTGTATAAGTCAAGGCCTGTAAATAGCCTAAATTTGTACTAATGAAATAAGCAGTTTGACCTGGAATAAAAATGTTAGGGCACTCTGTCTGTGTAGAAACAGGCCTTTGGTGTTTTTTTGTTTGCAGTGCAGTATGGGGACAGTACTGTGCACTGCTTTGGCAGGATTGGTGGTCCACATGCTTACGTCTGACCGAGAAACTTTAATTGTTTCATTGACATCACAATATCACCAGGCAGCTATGAGATGGCGGTTTGCATAAACATCCAAGTGTCCCACTCTACAGCATAAAGAACATTCTTCCCTTTGCAGACAGCTGTCTGACAGCTAGGGATTTGTGGGGAAGATGCTGTGCTCCTGATGACGTCTTTACAAAAAAATGCCACCCCCGCTTGTAGTAACCACTGAAATACCACATACTATACAGAAGGCACCCAGCACAGTGTGGGGATTACAACCGATACTCTTGGCTGTGACTGCCTGCCCAAATGCAGGCTGCTCTCTCCCTCATATGCAGAACTGAGCTCCTTGCAACGGTACTGATGTACTGGTGTTCATGGTGTAGAAGATCCTTACTGGAGAGGATCCCAGGGAGTGTCCAGAAATGTACCGGACACCGTCCATCCAATGTCTCCCTTTAGCTTGGTGAACAATATACTGTACAGGACAGTGTTGTTATTCCAGGAGACTCTTCTTCCATCTGTGCCTTGAAAGTAATTCTAAGGTTTGGACAGTAGGCGCAGTTTGCTGGGGAGCCACTCAGATGATGTCCAATGAAGGGTGGACAAGGAGTGGACAAGGAGAAGAAGATCCCACTGACCCCTGTGCTCTTCACAGGGCACAGCCTTGCTCGTCCCCGGCAGCCGTGACTTCTGGAATAAACGACTCCACAATTGCGCACCATTTTCTGTGTTAACACATCTTCATCTTTACCTTCGAAGGTTCTCCGTGGTGGCCAACTGAAATTCCTCTTCATTGCATCACATTGCATCGTACTTCTGGATTCATCCATCTGTGGTGAAAATAAAGCGTTTCCCCACCCCACAGTTTACAATCAAATCAAGCTTCTTGTTTTACTGCCTCCTAGTGGTGTAAAGCAGTCATTACCATTGCTGCGAGTGGTGGCACCCTTCCCATTTTCGTACAGAGGATGCCGTGCTAGATAAACTGGAAGGAGCCCGTGCTCTAGTTAAAGCCGTCTTTAAATAAAAACAAAACGGTAATAAACTGCTCAAGCAAACTCAGAATTTAACCTTGAGATTCAGAAGAGAAGGTCTAACAGTTTCCCAGCCGTTAATAGAGCACAGATCCTGAGCTGTGGCCTGTGGCAGTGGGATGACTCCAGCGAGGTGGCCCAGGACGAGCCAAGGGACGAGCCAATGATGAATGCCGCCTATCTTTTTTTCTAGAGCTCAGAGGCTGTTATCCGTTGGCTGAGCGAGTTTCAGCTGCAAGTCTACGCTCCAAACTTCATCAACGCTGCCTATGACATAGCCACCATTAGCCGCATGACCCCCGAGGTAAGAGCACCTCCCAGAAACCTCCCAATCCACCTCCCCCTGACCCCAGACAACACAAAAAGGCCTCCCCCACCCCCACCTCCTCCCCTCCCAGATTGCTGTCGGATTCCAGGCGGTCTCTCCCGTGTGCTCTGGAACCTAACTCTGTGCGGAGCACTGCTGGCCCCAGCGAGTTTGCCTCAAAGCCAAGCCCCCTGCCTCCTCGCCAGCCCAGCTGTGTCAGAGCCTCCCAATGCCACAGCCGGGGCAACAGTAGCCTTGCTGTGGCAGCACGTCTTCCCGCTGCCTGACTGGAGATCAGCTGCTGCACCTGTCGCCCCAGTTCTCTCTTCTCTTGCCCAGGAAGACCCACAAGGTCGATCGAGGGGGAGCACCTTCTCCGCAGAAATGTCACAGACAGGGCCTGGTGGTTGAAGTGTTCAGTTGTGGGTCGTTTCGTGTTTGCGCAGCTTCTTGGTCTGGGAGAAAATGAGCTGCCCGTGTCACAGAACATTCTCTCTTGAGGTGGAAGCCCTTGTTCTCAAGTCTTGCCAGCCGGAAAGCGTGACTGTGCTGCCCCCTTGTGTACGTGTGCATATCGGTGTATATCTGTGTGTGTCGTGTCTGTACGTGTCCATGTGAGCGTGTGCACAGGTGCACATTCTTGGCAAGACCGCTAAGCATTAGTCAGCCGATGAATGCATCAGAACCTCGGCTAATTCATCAGCACCCTAATGCTTCATGAGAACGCCCCTGATGGTTTTGCTAGAGTGATTAAAACTTGGTTTTAATCCTGTGCTTCGGGAGGTTGTGTGTGTTGTGCTTTTGTCAATAAGATTATCGGTGTGGTGTGACTGGTTGTCGGTCTTCCGGGCTCACTCCCCGTGTGTAGCCTGGTCTCCCCTGTTTGATGCTGCTGTAGACGCGACATTTAGAGAAATGTTTCTCCAGCTTTGCCTGCCTAAACTGACCGGTGACTTTCCTGTGATCTTTCCTTGGTTTTACTGTGGCCTCTTCCTGGAATGGCATGTTCGGGGGTAGGAATAGATGTTGTTGTTGTTCTTTTTATCTGGTGATGGGGGTGAGTATACAGTATTTCAGGCGAAGAACTTCAGAGAGTAGACTGAACCTGATATAAAACCTGAGGGAAAAAAAACGAAAAGAAACTGTGGAAACTGTACTGAAGTGGTCAAGCAAGAGATGTGCTTTTCAGTTGTTGCAGTGAATTCTCTGCATGCCAATAGTTTCACCGTATCATACTCCAGAGTCAGTTTGTTGTTGTTTTTCAGTATTTTCCATTGCTCTTGAAGAAGCCACCTGGTGGGGTTGATGTTAAAGTATAAAGGGGTTAAAAAGTAAAAGTGATTTTATCCGTCTTCCCAAATCCCATGACAATGTGAATCCCAGGCACAAGGTACTGGGTTTGCATGTCATAGGATACAGGCAATGCAATGCACACACATGCTTGAGCACAGGGTTCTAGAGAGAGCTCAAAATTCACAGAAATTAAAAAACTTGCACAGAAGCACACTGTGTTTGGAGTTCCCGTATCTTCTAGCGAACCAGACAGATTTTATTGTATTTTGGGGTACTCTAACAATCCTTCTTCCTGAGTTGTATTTTTTCCTGTTTTTCAGAAAATTTCACATTCATCGTTTCACATGATATATTGCTTTGATGAAAAGTAACATGTTGAGCTGAATTCTTTCAACAATCCCTACTTAATTTGAGATCAGTGTTGATATCCATCCCTGAAATTATTATGTTAAGAATATGGAGTGAATAAACTAACACTATATCTTAAAAGGCACCAGATATTATCATAGTAAATAGTATCACATTCAAATGTTAAATGCTATCTAAGGTCTTAGGATCTTGGGACTATGGAATTCCTATTGCTGAGCAGTTTGATCTGTTCTGAAGATTTAAAAGTTGCTGGCTCTTGTGACGAACTCAGCATCAATGATGACCATTTCATTCTGGTCAAAATATTTCAAATGAAATTGCATGTAAATGTGTGTCAGGTGGTGTTAATATTCAAGCATTTGTACCAGAACCTGCAGCAATGAAGGTCTGATCAGGCCTGCTCTGCAACTGGAACCTTGTACCCAACCTTGGTTGGAGGATTGGATGTCTTTCCCACTGATCTCCGTGAATCCCAGTCTATCCAGCTCTGCCGCTGGCCTGATGGGTCTCTTTGATGACGGGAGGGGGGACTATGTGTTTTTCAGGATCTGACAGCCATCGGAGTGACAAAACCTGGGCACCGCAAGAAAATCACTTCGGAAATCAACAAGCTCAACATGACCGAGTGGCTTCCAGAGCACAAGCCGGTGAGTACAGCATATTCACCTTCACTGCCTGCCAATCCTTCAGCACGTAAAGGGCTTCACATCTGGGAAAGGACTGACATTCATCCCCCAATCAAACACAACCCTGGGTGACATGAGGGAGCCATTCTGCACCATCAGCCCCGCCGCAGAGCAGGTCAGATGGTGGAGTGAGAAATAACTTCACCAACGGAATTAAGGGGAGCTTTAGGGACACCAGATTGTACAAGCCCAGAGTGAAATTTAGCCGGGACAGCAGTGTGCAAACTCCTAGGCATCATGAAGAGTACCATGGGTTCTCTAATGGAAAATAAGTCAAGGCCTCAATTTAATGATGGCTCTGCATTGCGGTGTTCCCTCTTATGATAATGGGGGCAGAGGTTTGGAAATTCTGGTCCAGAGAAAAAAGCGCCACCTACTGGTGAACCAGCTTACAATATCAATGTCCCCTTCCAGTACTGTCCAGACCCGGCTTAGCTGAACTTCTGAGATCTCGCTACACGGTTAATCTGCTAATTATACCCTGTGAATAGTGCACGTGGTCACCTTTACAAAGGACTATGAAGCTACACCATAATGTGCCACAAGATATAAAGCTTCAAATGAGCTTAAAATAAGAAATCCACATGACTCCTATCTGAGAATAAAAATGGACAAGTACCTGAAACATAGTACTGTTAAAGGTCCCATTATCAGCATGCTGTGGAGTCCCAGAAGTCACAGGATGTGATGCAAGGAGAGTCTTATGTAAAGCATCATATACATCTTACATAAAACTTAAGTGATGTGCAGGTTTTGAGCCATTAGAGCATTTACTGGGATATTCTTTCCTTTTCCTTTCCTATTTTCTTTCCTCTTTCTGTTCAGAGCCACTGAGCTCACAGTCAGGGCTGCTGAGTTCTTGAGTCATAGCAGTCACACTGCACCTGTGATGGTAACTAAACTGAACAGAAACACCAGGGGAGACTAGGAAGGTCCGTTCATTAGAATATACAAATGGCATTAAAAACCGGGCAGTTTACCAGAGCTCAGTATATATTAGTGTGGGCAGAGAGAAGAGATTTATGTAGGTACGAAGCTATATTGGGGAACCCGATGGATTTTCGGACTAAAGCCAGTTGTGAGTGGTCAGTCAGGAAGGCCGGAAAACTGTATCTTTCACTAGTAGTTATTCGGGGTACTGTGGGGAGCTGAACTCAATGGGTGGAATCAGTCAAGTCTAGCAAGTTGGTAAACAGCAGAAAACATTCATGAACTCTGCACTTCTGCCTGTAATCATCTCTCTCCTTTTGCACTCTTGGCCTTCTGTCTCCTCCATAATCCGACTGCGTGCTTGATGTTCACAGGCTAACCTGGCAGAATGGTTGTCCATGATTGGCCTGGGGCAGTATTACCAGGTCCTGGTTCAAAACGGCTACGAGAACATCGACTTCATCACTGACATCACCTGGGAGGACCTGCAGGAGATCGGTATCACCAAGCTGGGTGAGTGCAAGAGCCATGGTGCAGGTCCTCACTGACATCACCTGGGAGGACCTGCAGGAGATCGGTATCACCAAGCTGGGTGAGTGCAAGAGCCATGGTGCAGGTCCTTCGCACTCCTAGGGGATCAGACAGACGGCGGAGGCGGATGTGACAGAGACCATTCCTGCACAACTGGGCTTTGTCACTTCTTGCAACTATGGTATTATCTCCTGAGGCATCACTAACTGGGGTTAAGTCCCAGCAATGAACAATAGCTCTTGACTTCAAATTTTGTACGATGAACAACCTTTTCCTGCTGAATCTTAGCTCGGAATTACAGCAGATTAGGATCAACGGGAATTGGAGCTGGAAAAAACGTAGCAGAGGCAGGCAAAGAAACCCGCAATAGACTTTTAATGGCTGAAGGAATTTTTGATTGAGTTTCCTTGATACCTGTCGCTCTCCCTGCCCTAGGCCACCAGAAGAAGCTGATGTTGGCCGTGAAGAAGCTGGCGGAGATTCAGAAGGCATCGGAGCAGGGCCGCAGCACCCTGCGGAAGAAGGCGCCCCAGTCCCTGGAGGTGATGGCCATCGAGAGCCCTCAGCAGGAGAGCGCGGAGTGCATGTCCCCCAAGATGAGCACTTTCCAGGACAGCGAGCTGAGCAATGAGCTGCAGGCTGCCATGACGCGGGCCGGGGAGGCCCAAGATGGCTCCGAGCCCAAGCCAGCCGGCAACCAGGCGGTACAGCGGGCGCGCAGTTTGCACGACAACAGCGTGGGCAAGGCCAAGGAGCCAGAGGACGGCAGCAGCGTTCAGAGGAAGGAGGTGCGGCCCATGCGGCAGACCAGCCAGGGGAGCCACGGGGCGCAGAGGGCCAGCGTACCACCTGTGGTGGGGAAACCACGTCAATCCTTCCCTCCGGCTGGAGCAGGGGGATCCTTCACCCCCCCACAGACCCCTACCAAGCCCAGGCCCTCCTCTCCACAGACTATGGGGCCGCCACAGGCCACTGCCAAGGTGAAGCCCACCCCCCAGCTGCTGCCCCAGGTGGAACGGCCCATGTCACCCCGTTCCCTGCAGCAGTCCCCAACGCACAGGGGCTTCGCCTACGTCATGCCGCAGCCCGTGGAGGGTGGAGAGGGGGCAGGAGGCGCCCAGCAGGCGGCCCCCAGCCCACCCGTGTCGGTGCCCGTGCTGTGCCTGCCCCCCCAGGGCGACGAGTCGGACGAGGAGCAGGGGCGGCCCAAGAAGCGGGCGCACAGCCTGAGCCGCTACGCCGTGTCGGACAGCGAGCAGGAGCGGGACGAGCTGGCGGTGCCCGACTCCGGGCCCTACGCCACCGTGCAGCGCCGCGTGGCCCGCAGCAACTCGGTCAGGGGACAGTCGGCCGACAAGAACGTGAACCGCAGCCAGTCCTTCGCTCTGCGGCCCAAGAAGAAAGGCCCGCCGCCGCCCCCGCCCAAGCGCTCCAGCTCTGCCATCTCCAGCACCAACCTGGTGGACGACCTGTCCAAGGAAGGCGGGGAGCTGGAGGTGGGCTACCACGAGCAGCGGCGGGCCAGTGACTTCGGGGGCACCGTGGACACGGGCAGCGCGGGCAGCGTGAAGAGCATCGCTGCCATGCTGGAGATGTCCTCCATTGGTGGCGGTGCCAAAGCCCTGGCGCTACAGAAATCCCTGGGCGGCAGCGGCCGGCACTACCTGCAGGTACTGTAACGGCACTGCAGGAGACAGTCCAGAGCCAGGGGTCAGACCAGCAGGAGGGCAGGGGGGCAGGGGGACCCACTCCTGACCCTGCAGGGTGGTAGTCTTACCTTTCGAGAGCTCTCTTTAACAGTTTAAGACTTTGTGGGAGAAATTCAGTGGATCTAGTGGGACAGGTATCGAGCTGAAACCAGATCGGGAGGAGCTCAGGTACGGTGAAAACCTGTAGATCTCGCGCTCTGCAGATCCAGGCTTTGGAGCCCGGTTGGTCTGAAGTCTGAGGTGTGTGTTGGCAAGATAAAGGAGTTAAGATCTCGAGCCTGAGGCTGGCTTCTGAGTTTTTTACCTCATCTTATCAGTCTTGGCTGTGCGATTAACAGCCTTATGCCAAAAAAAAAAAACACAGCTGACGTATTGCCAAATGATCTGACTCTGTAGAAGGAAGAAGTGTGGTTTTTATTTACGGAGCTCCACCATTGTGCAACTTTAGATTTTCTAGAGAGTCTCTAAGGGTTTGAGACCCAGTGGTGCTGCTGGTAGCCAAGCAGCCCAGTGTGTGCGGTGCTGGCTCGGCAGCACGAGGGTGGGTGCGTGATGGAGTCGTCGGTGCTTGCCTGCGTGAAGCTGTGTCTCCCTCCCTCCCCTGCACAGGTCAGTCCGGATCACGCTCGGGTGGCCGCTCTCCACGGCACAGGGAAGCACCGTGACGCCATCGGGCTGGACGGGGAGGTGGTGAACCGGCGCCGGACCATCAGCGGGCCGGTGACCGGCCTGGTGGCAGCCGCGCGGAGAGACCGCCCCCCCCGGGAGCCGGGGTCCGGCAAGGACAGCCTGGCCGTGGAGCCAGGCTCCTGCAACAGCTCCGCCGAGAACCTTCCCTTCGCCGACGACGGCCACCACACCATCAAGCAGCGGCCCCGTGGCGGCCTGGGCAGGGGAGAGGGCGGGGACGGCCTGCCGGATCACGTCTACATCCTCCAGCAGGACGAGCTGTCCCGCATGGACGCCACGGCCACCCTGAAGAGACGAGTCAAACCCCGGCACCATCCCGACGGGGTCAAGTTCCAGCTCACCGAGTCCAGCACCGTCAAGCGGCGTCCCCGGGGCAAGGACAGGGAGTCCTCGGCAGATCAGCCGGACGGGCTGGCCCTCGCTCCCTACCAGAACGGCACCAGCACCGTCAAGAGGCGGCCCGTGTCCGAGATGAGCGGCACGGACCACCCCCGGCCCCAGGGCAACGGGGAGCTGGGACTACGCAGGGACAGCTCCGATTACGGCCCGCAGAGTGCCGAGAGTGAGCCCAGAAAAGCTGTCAAGCCCCCTGTGTCACCTAAGCCGGTCCTCTCTCAGCAGGGCCCGGTGAAAAAGCAGGGCCCCCCCACACCCACATCTAAGAGAGCCCCCATTCCTGGACCGGGCAGCCCAGGTACTGAACGCCCTTCATGGTATCGCAGCAACTCTGAATCCACATGCAGAACACGATGGATCAGGCAGGAGGCATTAGCTACTGTTTTGTAAAGCAGCTTCAGAGAGCTGATCGGTATCTGGAACTAAAGGTGCCTCTTTGCAGACTTCAGCTCTTTAACTATTCAATTAATCACTTATCTGGAGACACCGACAAAGGGCGTTTATTTTTTGCCTCCCAAGCAAAGTTTGTCCCCCATTTTCCTAAAATAATACGAAATATCGAGAGATAAATATCTCGCAGAAGACATTATGTGGCAGGAAATGAGCGAGGAAGAGTCTGTCAATTTCATTTCGGAACAAGAATTCTGAATTGTCTGTAGTTTGTTGAAGGTTTGAACGAGTTGGCAAAGTTGGTAATGCAGCGGACGAGCTGTGAATGTCTTTAGCCAACCCGGCTCACGTGCTTTTCTTCCCCTCTTGTCTTCTGTCTCCCTCCTCCAGAGGTGAAGCGCCTGCCGCCTCCTGTGTCCCCGAAGCCCGCCCCGCCCCCAACCCCGCCGAAGCCCCCGAAGGTGCAGAGCGTCCTCCAGTCAATCAGCCCGAGCCCCAGCCCCAGCCCCTCCCCGGCCAAGCAGCCCGGCGGCAAGGCCTCCAGCACTCCACCCTCGCTGTGCTCCAGCCCCGCCAAGCCCCTGAGCCCCCCGGCCGGCAGCCCGCAGCTCCTCCCACCCCCTACCCCGGGCCCCACGCCCCCGCCGGTCAAACCGCCACGGTCCTCCATCTCCGGGGCGTCCACCGACAGCGCCGGGCCGGAGGCCGCCCAACAGAAGCTGGAGGAGACCAGCGCCTCGCTGGCCGCCGCCCTGCAGGCCGTGGAGGAGAAGATCAAGCAGGAGGACGGGCACAAAGAGTGAGTCACGCCGGCCGGAATGAACTAATTTAAGATACTTCGTGAATATTGCTATAACCCAGTAAGTTTATAACTCAGATAAGTGTAGTTGAACAGTTTTATGCTTGAGATGTTAGCAGCTCAGGAGGAGGTCTGTCACGAACAGTTCTTTCCGGGCCCTATGCGGACGACACGATCTAGGATACAATGGGGAAAATAGTCATGCAGGAGAAGGGTCTGGAGAGGAGTGCAGGTGTCCAGGGGGAGTGAATCCAAGGCGAACAATCCGAGGGTATATCCAAAGGGAAAATCCAATACGGGAGGCAGAGTCCAAGACCAGGGGATCCATCCAAAGGAACTAAAAACAAGAACCGGGTCGGAACCGGCGGGGCAGGGAATCAGGAACAGGAAACTAAAACCATGACGGAGCTCTCACAAAACAGGATTCAATGAGAAGCCTCGCAGAAACGCCTGCGTCTGGCTTTAAAGGTGGAAGTGAGGAGGGGATGGAATAAGGAACAGGTGTAAGCAATGGGGGACAACGAGGAAGGTCTGGAGCGCCCTTAAGAGGGGGAGTAGCGATCGCGACAAGGTCAGGTTGTAAACTAGCCCTTCCACACACATGAGTATTTCACTTGCCGAGTCTCCTTTCTCGCTCCCCTCCCTCTGCCTCATCTTCGCCATTGCTGCTGCCTCCCTGGCTCATTCCGCACAAGTGAGGGGGTTTTGGGTCGTGTCTGCCTTGCAGCACGGGCTGTCATTTCCTTCGCCAGGCAAACAGTAAAACAACCAGAACTAGAATTTGACCGACTGAATTAGATTAATGGAAGTGGGTGTTGAAAATATTTCATTATGAGGCTGCCTGTATTCTGCATTCATCCCTTCCACTCCGCTTGGGAATTTAAGCTTTGATTAGATAATAAAATTATCTGCCATGCACCGGATGATAGCTGATGACTTGTTGCTTTTTGCCAAAGCTGGACAGAGTTTTATTTGTCATCAATAGAGAAGCTTAAAGGCTCATAGGTTTGGTAGTAATAAATGGCAAGTGCTGACAGCCCAGAATATACCGTAATATGATCTTGCAACAATCCACAGGTCTGTCTAAAGTCCAAGCAGTTACTGGCAGGATGTGCTGTTATGATCGTTGGCCAAGATTTAAGTAGGACCCTCTGCAGGAGTTGATCAAGAATATAACGACGGTATTAGAAAAGCCAATGTACTTAACTAACACGCTGAATCCAGTCTCGTGGTCAAAACAAAGCGAAGGTCAGGAAGCCAGAGGTGCAGAGGATGCAGACGATAGGCAGGATGCAGGCGAGGAGAATCCAAAGTCGTTGACTTAGCAGGCAAAGGTCAGGAAGCAGGAGATTCGAAGAACAGTAAGTAAAGCACAACCAAAAGATTTCGAATTACGGAGCTGCAGTTGGTAATCCAATACCGAGCACAGTAATGGGGGTAAGGAGTCCTTAAATATTATGGGAGCCAGGAGGTGTGGTGGTGACCAGGGTTGTAACTGGGTAATTAGAAGGTTCTTGGTTAAGATTACCGGGAGGTGCGTCAATATGGCGCCGGCGTTTGTTCCGATGAGCACGCGCCGCGACGTGTGCAGTGTGTGCTGTCCTGACCCCACCCTCTCTCTCTCTCTCCCTCTTTCCTGGGCTGCAGCTCGGTGGCTGAAAACAAGAGCACAGTCAGCATTCTGGATGACATCGGCAGCATGTTCGACGATCTGGCTGACCAGCTGGACGCCATGCTGGAGTGAAGAGCACAGTCACTGCCACTGTGGCACAACCTCAGGACTCTGCAAGGGCACAAGGGCAACACGGACTACCGGCACAACCCTTTCTCTCCTCTCCAGCCCTCCCAAGACTACCCCCCCCCCCTCCCCCCACTCTCCGCACACCCCTCACTCGCCCCTGTCGGGCTTGCACAGCGATCCCGATGCGCAGAGGACCCGGATGAATTACCTCAGGACCGAGCTGGAGAGAATCCGGAGTGTTTGTGACACCAGGGACACAGTGCACACAGAGAGCGAGAGGGTCAGTGAGCGCCTTTTTGTGGAACAGAAACTAAAATGTTTTTCTTTGCTTTCTGTATTACTGTGGAATATGAAGGGTGTTGTAAAAAAAAAAAAATCATAATAATTATTATAACATATGGTATGTGTAAATTGTAAGCATGAGGAAAGAAGAGTTTATATCTTAAATCTCATATAGAAAGAATAATTAGTCAGTACAGTGATATATATATTTTTAATTTCTTTCCCCACCGGTACAAGTTCTGTTTTGCGATACGTGGGATAAAAGAAGAAAGAAATGACAGCTATTGAAAACTCGAGACGAGTCCATGCAGGAATTTTGAGATCGTGCTGTTCTGATCTTTGTTTTGTACGTCCCAGTCCTTCCTGTGTTGGCTATTCAATGGCTTCGCAGCAGCATCAAACTTCAGACGGACAGAGCCGACCCCCCCCACCACCCTCTTGCCCACTCCTTTCTGACCGTTCGAAGGCAAATCTCCTTTACATTCCATATCCCTGCCCTCCTGACCTGGGCCGGCCTGACCGCGGGGAAATTAATGGTGCTGCCGGGGAAAAAGCACACAAACACAGCTGTCCGCTCTCTCTCTGCATTTTTCAAGGACAGTGGCCCATGTGCCTTTTTCATCGGGGGATGACAAGGCCTCTGGCTTGTCGCTGTGAATGCCCCTACTCCCTCCCTCCCTCCCTCCCCCCAGCAGAAAGAGCTGATCGGTGCTCAGACAGAAGACTGCGCTCGTGAGACACCGTGTGTCTGCTTTGGCAGAAGGAAACCTGCAGAAGCCGAGCTGCAGCTACAAAGTGCGTGGGAAGCTCTTGTGCTAATGCGCGCAGGCGGACAGGGCTTGTGGTCCACACTGGACCCTCCGACTCCCCTACATCTCACCCTTCCAGGGCTTCGTAACTGCTGACAGGCCGGCGGGACGCGCAGCCCGGGACAAGCACAGGGAGGCTCGTCCGAGGCTCCGATGAAACTGGCAGCATTCCATTTTTTAACACAACACGATCCCAGGAATGGCCACATCCCAGAGAGGAAGCCCCTGGGACGCGGCGCCCAGAGAGATACCACACTGGGCCCCCCGGCTTCGGATTCAAAATTCTTAAAAATCTAATTTCAATTCTTAAAAAATGGGATACTGCTTCCTAATATGGCACAAAACGAGACTCCTGTTCTCCACCCAGTTTCCCCCCCTCCCCCCTTTATAGATGTGCTGTTTCTGCATGACCAAGAAAAGGCTGATTCTGCTGGCTAGCACTGCCATTGATCAGCGGCCGGACTCCCATGGCCTTCCATGTAAGACTCCTGTAGGTACTGTGTCTGTGAACGCACGCGCCTGTGTGTTAAACCATGTGTTAAACCTGCAGGACTCTTCTCCCGGGGAGGTTGCTGCAGGATTTTTGATTTTGCCGTTTTTCTTTATTCTAGCAGACGGTGCTGACCTGCTGTGTCTGCTGCACTTGTGCTAATAAGGCAAAGAGCAATATGAGGGCTTGTGAAAACACGCAACGCTTTTTAAATTGGTTGTACCACACAATAACTACATGAACTATTTCATAGCTGGGGATCGCTTTGACCTTAAAGGCACCTGAGAGGCTCTGTGACATAGCAGTTAGAAACATCCCCTCTATAATCACATGCAGTGATCTTGATGTGTAATTGGCATTTATGGCCATATCAGTGTTAAACGGAAAGTCTCTCAGTATCCCTCGACAGAAAGAGTATTGAACCGTACGTGCCCTGTGCTTGAATTTTTTATGTTCACCTATATCTTCTGGTTTCTCAACTGTGGAGGGCGCACACAGTGGACACAATCAGTAGCCAGGCTTATGGTGTGATCTTATCTTATTTTGTTCTCTACAGACTTCCTCCACAGTCTGTAAGGCGTTTATAACGAAAGCTCAGGTGGGATAACAACAACCAAGTTCAATCAGACTCAGCCAGCAGTGATTAGCACTTCCAACATCCTTTCCACTCCTAAAACACTCTCAATACCTACGTGATCCCCTTCTCTCTCTCTCTCATGTACGTCTTTTGCATCCCATCTCTGCAAAGAATACCTGCTGGTGTCGATGTTGAGGAAGCCGGTATTTTTAGGCACAACCCCTGAACATCTGGCTTAAAAGAGGAGAAAGCGTTCTCCTTATTTCTGTTTCTAGGAAGCAGTCCTAGGGAAAAGCACTTTTTTTTTTGCAGTTGTTAGCTAAGCCTGTCAAAGGCCAGGCTGTTTTAAAAGACCCCTAGGATCCTGGAAGATATTTGCTGCAGTCAGCTGTGATGAAGGACGTGTCGAAATTGGTTTCAATGAAAAGTGAGAACAGTCACCCAGGTTGGTAAATAGGTTTCAGGGCTTGTCAAGAGGTCAAGGCGGGCAAGAGGGAGCTAGCTGAGATCTCCCAGTACTGCGGCGAGAAAGTATCCCACCTTCACTCTCCGCCTCGGCTGCTGTCTCGTCTCTGTCATCACCATCGTCACTCGCAGGCTTTCCTTCACTTTCACTTTTTTTTTTGCACAACCATTTTCCCCCCGGTCACACTCATCACTCTCTCTGACAGCGCCCCAGCGCCCGAGGCTGCCGTCCGGGGCAGAGGCTCAGGGTAGCCGAGGAAGAGGACGCCATGATTGCAATAGGACCGGCAGCAAGACACCCCAAGATTGCTAAAACAAAGAGGGGTATGAAAATTAAAAAAAAAAACACCTCACATAAGAAGTTTTAAGAGGCCAGATGGTTCATGCATTTTCTTGTTCATGAGAAGCACATATCCTGCATCCTGACTGAGCTGCAGTCATGCACACACCTTGTGAAACAGCTCCCTGCCCGTCACTACTGTTTTCACAGGGGGCCGAAAGATATAAAGCTAATAATTTATTCTATAAATATATATATAAAAAAATATTTAACATTATGTATCATCTTAAAAGGCATTAATTTATTTTAAAAAAATACAGATCTCAAAGGACTGCCACTTTTTTTTTAATATATTCCACCTGTCGAACACAAATTGTAAAATATTTTTAGAAAAAAACTCTTTACGGAAGCCTTTTTTTTTTTTCCTTTGGCAAATAAGACGATAAGCCACGAGATGTTCACGTTACGAGCCGAAGCAGACCTGTTTAGTGATAGTTTATGGACTTCTATTTTTTTTTTATATACGTGCCTTTTGCGTTGTCAGTTTTTTTTTTTTATGTTATTCGATGAATAATTCCACTCTTACCGTTTCAATTATGTTCGTCTTCTTGGGGGGCATTCAGCAGAGTGCACACCGTGTAGAGATAATGTATAAAAACTGTGTATAAAAAAAAAAAGGTCTTGGTCTATTTATGCCTGAGTTTTTGACGAATGCTTGTGACTGTGGTTTGCTAAATGGTCTCTGTCGTTACTCTTATGACCATTGAAATACAATATTGTGATACTGTCACCAATATGCTTCATTATGCAACTCTTGGGACCCGGGAAGCTATTTCTCCTTTCCCGAGCAGAGTATCAGTCCCAGTCCCTTCCCACAATGTGTTCAGTCACCATCCATTGTGCGAGAGAAGAGCATCCCCCTTCCTCTGCTAATTCCCCCTATTCTCAATTCCCGGTGTTTAAAACTAGCTGGATGTTTTGTGGTTGATGTAAGAAAGCTTTGTCATTTTGGTTCCGTCTTGATTTTTAAAACCCTTTAACGGTCGGTTAGATTATTTTTATTTGATGGGGGGAGGGGAGACAGAAAAGAAAACCTGGAAAATAATATCTTGCCCCTTGTGGGAAATGACAAAACGGGCCTGCTGAAGCAAGAGTTCTGTATTGTAAAAAGAAAAAAAAAATCCGTTTTATTTTTATTCTGTGGACGCACCGACGAGACGAAAAAAAAAACACGAAGAGGAGGAGCTTCTCGGGGACGTCCGTAAAACGCCAGGCTGTATCCGTGTCGAGTTGACGTTTCTTCCTTGTACAGTCCCTGCTGTGACTGGCGGCTGAGCAGCGCTGTTCTGGCAGCGACTGCCTTTACAGCCATCTGCTCTAAATAAATGTTATATACAAAACGTGGAAGTGCAGACTCGGTCATTTCTCCTCGAATCCACACTCTTGTGCATCAGATTTCCAAAAGGATTTGCAGAATCCATTTGCATTTGACCCACATTTGCTAATCAGGACTCCTGTGGCACCCTTGTTAAACACTTTATTTGAATGTGGTCTTAGGTACCCAGCACAGCACATTCATTCCTAGCTGAGCTGTGGCATAAACCTTAAGAACCATTTTTCCAAAAGACTTAACTTGTATACAACTATCCCTGACCTCACACATGCAATGATCTCCATTTTGGAACAAGACTCCCAACCAATTAGCAAAGCTATGACAGCATTGTATAAACAGCCTTTTTTGAAGGTGTTACGCAAGTTTACGATTTGCCATTAGACCACACTCAAATAAGCCTTGGCCCTTGTTTGTCAGCACGACAAGATCATTTATCACTCACTTTTTTTCAGCTCATATTTACCTAATGCAATAAATGTGACTTTTGCTCAAGTTTTACACCTGCAACTTGGAAAAACTCGGCCCGTCATGCAAATCACTCCTGCTCAAACTACGGGGAACAGAGGGAGAGTTCTAGTCCCAGTCCAGCCAGAGGAACATTAATTACATCTTTTCAGAAAACACAACCAAGAATAAACATGACAATTAGATCATCAGGCAAAAATTGGTAGACAATTCATTTCACAGGTGCCTACATGGATTCGAAGCTTATAGCAGGTCCTGTCTATGGCAGTAAAACTAGTGGATAAGAAGACAACTCTTTCACCAAACAGCAAAACAGCACTGATCATACAGTAATAGTTTAACTCCTGGAGGTGTGAAGATTGATGACCGTTACAATGAGATACTGCCTCACTCACTGGTAAGAACTGTGCTTTGGTGAACTAGCAACACACACCAATATCATTTTGCAGTATTCCAAACCTGAACATGCACAAAAGCATGGAATTTCAGTGTCACAGACCGGGAACACACACCATTTGCCAGAACCTGGTCAATATCTGCAGTGTGGGCATAAATCCAGACTTTGTATAAATGCAAACATTTGACACGGTCACCAGTCATGGTATATATCCCAGCGATGCTGAACCTACCTGCAGATCGTGAGTTCCTTTTTCAAAGTTTGCACAGGTTCTATTGTATTGTGGATGAGCGAATCTGCAGCATTTATATGCCCATGTGTTTCCTGAGCACTGTCAGCACGTTGTGAGGGAACAGGGTCATGCTGTTAAGCAAAGGAATACCAGAAGGCTCCAGGCATTTGCAACTACAGCAGAAGACTTTTCTACCAACCCCCCGCAGGGTAATGCTAGCCCCATGTGTGTGATTTCTCAAAACAAGCAGTTTGGCGAACAAATGAACAGGCACCGTTAACAAAGAGTATATTGTTTTAATGGTCAAATCAAGTCCAACGAAGTGTATAAGGGAACATCTACATTACCGATGTGGAAAATACAATCCTGGCCAAAAAAACAAAATGAAAAGAAGTCGTACCTTGCCTCTTCGCCTCTCCACAGAGTTCGAGCAGTCTCAGATGAAACCTGTGGGCGTGTATTTATTGGCACTGCAAATTCACTTTGCCGCATCCCTTGCAAAACACACTGTGTCACCAGGCTCAGCGTGATTTCAGCCTCCACTAAAGTAAAAGCAGCTTATCGGGCGCCTGTGTTGTTTCTGTCGAGGTTTGTTTTCCCCCGTTTGGAGCTCTGTGGAATCTGTGACCGATCAGGAGACGTTCAGGGCCTACTGGGAAACCTTAACAGCATCCCACTGTTTTTGCGAGACCCAGCCACAAAATCAACAGAATCAGGGTTTGTTTTTTGTTTTTTAAGGAAATGCCGCAAAGAAACGTACGCTTTAAGTTAAAAACAGTCTAGTAGTTTACAACATTATTGTACACGTATATTAAAAAAAGGGCCTATCTAAAATAGACAGCAGCACTTCGATTTAAAAACGCTTCGGCAATGATTTTGTTAAAGCAGCCTTTTAATGCAGCTCGATTGGTTCTTGGGGGGAAGCGGGGGACACGGGCACAGACAGTCGAGTTCAAACCCTCCCTTCCTGGGGAATTCAGCTTTCCCAGCTCATTTTCGGAGGTCAACACATCGGTGGGGAGCAACGACGCGGCTCATTTCGAGACCGCCTTAATTAAAAAAAAGCCGGTGCACTTTGATCAAAAACGGGAGGAGGTGGGTGCCGGCGCGTTCCTGGGGCCGTGACCGCATGCTGGGGAACGAAGGGGCATGAAGGCCCGTCAGCACGCCCCCAAAAAAGCACGCGTGGCGGAGATCCGGATTCACATCCTCCCCAAAACAAGACAAAACGAAAGCAGGGGAACAGCAGAAAGACGGTGGGTTCTGTGCTCATCTCTCAATGGACAGCGGTGCGATCGAGCTTTAAACTTTTAAACAGCCAGAAGAAATACCCCCTCGTGTGTGTCTGTGTGGACTGCGTATCTCTCCGTGCCCCTCTCTCTCGCGGTGGGGGGTGTCCTTGCCGTGCCAAGAGTTGTGCCAGTGGTGCTCACAGGGGTGTGTTTTTGGCTTTTCTGTTGAGGCAGCAGGAATGCAGCCTGACGGCGAGGGAGGGGGTCTCTGAGCGAGACCAGGGAAAGAGGGCTGGAGCCTCGCCAGCACACGGTCAGATAAGGCAGATGTCTCAGGGTCTGGGAACCAGCGCCGTCAGCCCTCCCTGAACCCCCTGCGTCTGTCCAGCCTGAAAAGGCATCATAAGCCAGGGTCCGGCTTCAGCGGGAAAAGGGGGTCAAAGCAACGCTCGGCACTTGGAAACAGCAGGACCCATACACAACACCGTCCATCCGACCAGCCCTTAACAGCGAGGCCTTGTTCAGATCCACAGGTCCAAGGAGCTCCCCTCAGTGAATTTCGGCGTCGCCCAGTCTTTCCGCAGTGCCCGGGAAAAACGAGAGCCCTCTCTTCAATCATCCAGATGTTGGCTCTGATTTTCGTTCCCCGTCCCCACCCCCACCACCCCCCACAACATGGCACTAAATTCACATAACTCAGCTGGGCAAATCAAAAGTTCTTAAAAAAAACTATCTTGCCAGCCTGGCGTTCAGGAATCGGGTTCGGCACAGTCCAGCAGGGATCGGACCGCGCACGCGAGGGCTCCCCCAGGCGTGCAAACACAGCTGCCAGGCATCAGGGGCTGACCGCTGGCTCAACAGGTCCACACCTATTGCACACAGAGACAGAGGGGGATGTCAGAACGAGACCGCGTGTGACCAGACAGGCAAAACCCGTATCGGAACGCAGGTGGAAAGTCAGCTCCTTGAAACTGGATCAAAAGGCATTCTGGATCCTTTTCTTTGTAACGCGAGGGATTCTGATCTGCAACGCGGACGAAATCCCCGGCGCGGCGACCCTCCCCTGCCCAGTACGTACCTTGACGGTGCTGTCCACGGCTCCGGAAAAGAGGCGCCCACGGGAGACAGCCAGCGCGGTCACGCTGCCCTGGTGGCGCAGCAGGGTCTGGGTGCAGATCATGTTGTCCATGCTCCACACCTGGGAGGAGGAGGACAGGGTTAGGGCAGGTCCTCCGAAATCCTGACGGCTCTTGAAGGGACACTGGAGCCCCACAAACGGAAGCCGAAGCTGTTCCCAGGCCAGCAGAAACTGACCTTCGCAGATCATCGAGTTCTGACTTCAATTTCTTTTTCCCTTTCCTTCCCTGGGACACTATTACCAATTTATATCAGTAGTATCAGATACTATAGTAATAAAATAATAAACTATTTTTATATAGCGCACTCAGAATTGGCTTTTTACAAAAAAATATACACAAAGGAGGGAGGCAGCAGATTGAAACAGTTACAGAAGGAAAGCAAAGAGACGGACACAGAACCAGTTACATACAAGTCCTTCTAAAGAAGAAGGTTTGGAGTCTTGATTTGAAAGCGCTCAGGAAGGTGACTCTCTGATAATCCTTAGGAATAGAATTGCAGAGCTTCTGGGCATGGCAGGAGAAGATGCTGTCATCCACAGAGTATAGACGGGCTTTTTGGGACAGACAGGAGACCAGAAATAGATGAACGAAGGTTGTGAGGTGGGACGATAGTAATTCAGACATACCGTGGCGCCAAGCCATATAGAGCCAAGTCTTATACATGAACATGAGGATTTTGAAATCAACACAAAACCTGATAGGAAGCCAGTGCAAGGACTCCAGGATTGGAGTAATATCCAATATAACTACAATTCACCTGGAATAACACCCAAGAATTAAGTGTACTTAAAGGTTTATGAGCAGTGATTGCGAATCACTGACAGCTGAGTCTGATTAAACACGGCTATTGTCCTTTCTGCTGAACATTCGTTATAAACTCCATTAAATTAAAATGTTTTGCAGTAGTAAATGTTATCATTAAAATCATAAGATAAATATTACAGCTGTTGAACAGTTATCAACAGATTAAAACTGTAAGTGATTTAAAGGTATCAAGAGTGCTTATTCTGCATTTCTCTTCAACCACGTCAGATAAGTTTTGCTTTTTTATTACTAGTAATGGAGGCAAGGGGAATTCTAATTACCTCACCCCCCCTAACTACACTGTTAAGCGTCTGATATCGAGTAAGAAAAACCACAGAACCTGTGAAAAGATGGTTCTCCTATAATCCGCTTTCTTATTAAGCCTGTGCCTTCATTGCAGTGGTATTTCCTTTGAATCACAGAGCTCCATAACTGTATTTTCGTAGGTTCATTACATCTGCAATTGATTGCAGGCACCAGCTAATATGGAATTGAGCACCAAGCATTCCTAACAGCTTTCTGTACAATACCTGTAAATACTGAGGACATAAATATTGAGCAAAATGACTGTGGGTTGTTGCCTGGTGAAGAAATGATTTCCTGCTGTACTGTATATTTCTCTATTAGTAATTAATGTTTGCCTCTGATATTGCCTTCCATACTCAGACACATCCAGAGGCAATTTTTATTCTGCTATAAAGCATAAACAGCTTTAAATTTGATCTACAGTACACCAAAATACTTTACATTTTGTGTTCAACTACTGATTGCAGCACGATTACAGCAATTAGTAACAGATGATAATTGACTACTGAAAACTTCAGTCACCCAGCTCCAGTGTCAAAACCGGGATTTCCTACAGTTATTATTATTATTATTAACCCTAAGCCATAACAAAAGTGCTCACGTGCATGAAATTAAAGGAGATGTTTCTTCTGTTTCCGAGCACTGAAGATTTCAACCCTGCACAACCTGAAAGGCTCAGATCAGCTCTCTCATTCCGACACCCTGCATGCAGAGACCAGTCCGCTCCCTCTCCTTAAAGGGGCTTCAGCATGACCAGTTTCCAGTGGGATGAACAGCTCATCCCAAGCTGGGCACAGGGCAAAATCACCTTTCCTGCAGCCCTACCTCAATCTGCTCTGCACACAGATCAATGCAACAGCTACACCTCCAAACATGAATCCTCACACCGTTCAAAGGAACAGGGAGAGAAAGCAATGCATTTCTCCAGGCTGTCCACAGTACCTCCAGGCCACTTGCAATAAATCACCAGCCTGAAGCCCGACGTCCACTGCACATCACGGTCTGGGATAGCATCGTATTCTTGAAGGCGCGCCGGCTTACCCTGAGCGAGCGATCGTAGGAAGCGCTGAACACTTTGGTCTGGTCTGGAGTGGAGATCACCGCCAGGGCGTACACTGTGCCCACGTGCCCCGTCAGCGTGCGCACCTGCTCCTTGGACTCGATGTCCCAAACCTGCCAACGCCACGCACGGGCCAGAATGAGCGTTAGTGCACGAGCACAGTGGCGAAACGTTCGGTACAGTTTCACTTTTACGCAGCACGTCGAAGTTTGACGATTTTCTGCGCGATTCCTTTAAGAGTCAAGTATCTGCTTGTGCAGTGCAAAAACAATGACGCCCACAATCCGGGAGTACTTTACATCCATGCATTTTCCAAACACACTCAACTGCACCAGGATCTATTTTCCCAGAAGCCAATGACCCTACCAGAACGTTAGGGAGGAAATACATGGGAACATGGGGAGAACATACAAACTTCACGCGGACGGCACCTCACGAATTCACCCCAGGGTCTCAGCGCTACAAGGCAGCAACGGTAACCCCCGCGCAACTGTGCCTCAGTAAGAGTTTTGTGGTTCTCTACGACTGCGATTAGATGAATCGACTGGATTCAAAAGCACTTAATCAGCTGAAAGTCAGGCTGCTGGCCGCCGATTAAACGGACGCCTGATTCTCCGGAGCCGCAGAGACCCTGCAGTTGCAGGAGGTGGCCTTACGTGGATGAGGTTCTCATAGGTGCCACAGACGATGTGGTGGTTGGTGACAGCGATGGAGTAGACACTGCCCCCTGACGTCTGCAGCACATGGACGCACTCCAGAGAGCGGATATCCCAGATCTGGACGAGACAGAGAGACAGACAAATTGAGCCTTCCACAAATTCTCTTTGTGTCTGGTAACTATCGTGATTCCATGTTTGTATTTAAATATAGGAATATCTTTGCCTCTATGGAACAACCAGCTATAAGCAAGATAACCACTCTGCTACATCACAGGCACTAAATACACTCTTTGCAGTTCAATAAGACCTCACACAAACAGGAAATATTTGGTTTTCATGTTGTGTGTGTGGTTCAGCGTGTGAGTCACTCTTTATTTACTTCACTGCGGGACAGGCTGTTTCCTTGCGTCCAAGGATGCCGTGTACAATTAGACACTGTGCTTTGCGGTCTCCATTACAGATTTTCAAAAGCCATGGGAATAATAAAAAAAAAAGTCAAATACGTGCCAAAGTCTTTCAGAGTTTAAAAAAAAAACAAATCTGCCAAGAAAGATAATTTAAGAAGAAAAAAAAGACAAAGGCAATCTAATCCACCAGAGGGACAGACACGAGGAAAAAATGCAGTTGAGAAGAAAGGGCCCCTGGATCTCCTTTCTTATCAGTCCTGGAAAAACTGAGTAGTCCCACAGATGGAAGCCATCATCCAGGTTTCCAAGGCAACACTGGATTGTTTATGACACATCTGGATCCCTGAGCCAGCATTGGCCGAAAGAGAGGCTCGGCTCCGCCTACAACGCTGTGTACAGCCCATAGCCTGGATGGGGGAGAGATTGCCTCTTTAAACCAGAACATGATGCAACCCTGTGAAACTGACCCTGCATACCTTACAGTTTCTGTAGCAGCTGAAGTGGGAGGAAAAGAGTTGTACGATGAAACTTCAGATTTGAGTCTCAATTCCACCGCAAGAAGTGACAGCTGTTTTTCTGGAAATACCATTAAAAGCATTTCCAGTGTATCTCTAACTTTCTCTCTCCTTTTGTACTAGTTAAAAAAGGTCAATGTACTTTTTATTCATACCGATAGTCAACAGCTTGCTGGTTTTGTGTGTTAGAAGAGAAAAGTGCATTTTCTCTAGCACAGCAGTAATATAGGCCAGCTTTCAGTGAACTTTGGTGTGAAAATGCACATTGAGCAGAAAACGCTATAAGCCTGCCAAGCACTACAGTCAGGACTGAAAGGGATTTATTAAAACAAAGGCACATCTGCAGCAGTGTGTGTGGAACTGATTTCCTAGTCATGCTAGGAGCATTTGTTGGCTTATGAGAATGTCCAGTGAGATATTGGATTCACATGTTTAACAAGAACCATACATGCCCACTGGCCTGTGGACAGTACCCTCCCTGCAGCTCAAATGCCCTCTCACCTTGATGGTCTGGTAGGAGCCGCTGTACAGGTGGTTCTGGGAAGCAACGAGAGCTCGGACCCAGTGGTTCAGTCCCGTCAGCTCCTTCTTCAGCTTCAGTTCCGTGCCCACGATGTCCCACACCTGCAACAACAGGCAGTAACACACCCATTACTGCGCTGTACTGACGGGGACATACTCAATACCTACCACACCAAGACACAGAACTGCTTTACTAACAG